CACACACAGCCCTGGAACAGTCCCACGGCCGTTCCTTCTCACCACACACAGAGCAGGGCCAGGAGGGAAAGCGGATGACAAACATGGGGTTCAATTCAGAACGCTGGACCGGAGGGGAACGCGGAGGCTACGCAGATGGCCTGTCATCGCTCTCCCGTCCCCACATCCGACCAAGACACAAAGAGAAGGGTGCAGCAGGATGCATTTCCCTTCCGCAGCCCCTGGGAGCGCTCGCCACAGACACTCCATGCATGTCACCTCACTGAACGGCAACAACATGACCCCGGATGACGACGAAAGCCGGTAAGTGCCCCCAAGGAAGAACACCCCAGTCAGGCACGCTCTGTTCCAGTTCCAGCGGGAGCTGCCTGACCAGCTCTTCGTGGTTTCTTATCGACAAGCAGCATAGACAGCTGTTGCCATAGCTACGTACTTACGGCCTGGCGGCCGAGATCCCTGTGCACAGAATGGTTAGTTATGAGGCACCCAAGCTGTGCCTGGGGTCGCAGCCCAGAGGAGCTTACAGTCGAAATCAGACATAACATGTTACCCAAGCAAAGGGCTGGTAAAGGAGGGTCACAGCAGGGAGCAATCTGGTCTTTACTTTTTCTGCGTACCTTGGTAGTCAACCTGCAGCCACATTACAGTTGTCACTATTCTGTACACCCTGGCGATGTGGTAATTGGCACTGGTGAGGATCAAAGCAAAATCTTCTACCAGTGGATCTAAACAATAATCTCCACTAGCCTATGATTTTCCCCACCCCTGAGCGGAATGAATTTTGTCACGTGGGGGTGACGTGCAACATGGAGGGGAGGTGCGACATAACACCTTCGTGTTGGTGCACAGAACACAATTCATGGGGCAGGGGTGGGCGGAGGAACTCAGGCCTGGGCAGAGGGCTGGGGTGCAGAGGTGTGAGGGTCAGCTGAGAGTGCAGGTTCTGGGGTGGGGCCGAGGCTGAAGGCTCAGGACTGGGACAGAGGGCAGGATTCAGGGATGTGAAGGGTGCAGGCTTGAATAGGGGTGCAGGCTACAGGGTGGGGCTGGTTGAGGAGTCTGGGGTGAAAGAGGATGCTCCCAGGCTACTGCAAGGAGGGTGGTAAGGAAAGGCACCTCTCCCTGCCATGGCAGCTATGGGGCTGGGGAGGCAGGACAGGTGTCCCTCCTCTGGCCTGGTCAGCTTCCATCTGGTGCTGGGATGGAGCGGGGGAGAGCCACGTGGGCCATGGCCAGGGGGGCCAGGGTCAGGATGTCTGAGCCACAGTTGCATTTGGGCCAAGGGAAAGGCTCTGGGTTCAGGCCCTCCTTACCCCAGCTATGGCAGGCTGGGCTAGGTTGGGGGTGAGGGCAGTGGCGCCTTCCTCCCCACCTTAGGCTGGTGCTTGAGCACCCGTGCGGTGCTACCTGTGTGGCCGTGCAGCTGACAGGGGACTTAGACACAAGCTCTTAGGACAAGAGAGGGCCTATGATTAGCTGTCAACAGACTCTTATTGCATCCACTAGGTGGCGGTGGTGTGCACATAAGCCAGGCTGTCCATTGCACTGAAGAAAGTCGGGCTGGGCAAACGATTATTTTGTTCTCTGGCCAATTGTACTTCGGGTCGGAGCTTAGAACATTCAGTTCTGGGTGCTGAGAGAGTGGGGGATGTTACGTATTCACAGGGCCACCTGCCAGAGCGAACCAGGAGCAAAGGTGTCTGCAATATTTACGGTAAAGAGAACACCAAGAGATTATGGCTACAGTGAAACTGACAGTCAACCTGTCTTCCCCGTCCTCGGTCCAACCCATAAAAACCGGTTTGCTCCGATCTCGGGATCAAAGATGCCGCTGTGACGGCAGCCCTGGAAACAGAAGTTCTGTGTAGCCACAAGAGAGGAGACAGTGGGCAAAGACAGAGCAGACTTGACCACTACCCACATGCTGAGCTGGAGGGACCCCATCTCTCAGAGTCAGAGGAATAGGTTTATCGCCGTGGTCTATTCAGTCCACGCCAGGCAGGCGTTCACATCGCAACATCTACCCCGGCTACTCAGAAACGAGCAGAAATCACCAAAGTCAACGGCTGCGTTTCACTGATCATTCCAACAGAAGCTAGAATCCTGCTCATATGCTACACGCTTTCTTACCGCCCGCACCTCTGCAGGTGGTTCGGCCCCACCTGTCTCCTCCGCAGCTGCTGAAGTCTCCAGCTTTCCCTGAGGCAGTGATGCATTTTCAGTACAAAAGTCTGCAACTTTCTGAAAGTTCAAATGTAAAGGCTGGGTACAGTCAGCTGAATTTAACATCAGCTCAAATAACAATGGCTGCTGCACTGATTGTACTTGTTTTCCTATCTATTTAATTTAAAAACGCTTCTACGTACACACACACACACACACACACACACCCATCTGGAGCTGCTAGAACTCTCCCGTCCATTGCACTACTGTGCTGCAGAATCCAGAAGCCCTAGTGCACAACTGAGTTGGAAGTGGGTGCAGAGTATGTGGCATTAATCACATGCAGCATCCAAGACTTCTAAAGTGGAACCTGGGTTAAAGAGGAGCTCCCCGCTGTCACAGAATCACAGAACCCTGGGGTTTGGAGGGACCGCAAGGGACAGGCTTTGAGGTGTTTAAACCAGCCAAGGTACCTGGCTCTCCAGCCTCCTTGTGAAACCTCCAGCGAAGGATCTTTCCCCAACCTCCCACGGCAGTCGTTCCGTTGTCCCACTGCTCTTACAGTCAGGAAGCGTCTAGCCACATGTGAATGCTGAGAGAGGTTACCAAAGACACTGGAGCCTTAAAATCAACACTGCACCGGACACGGAGCTCACTGGCCCCCACCCCCACTCGCCAAGCACCAACTGCTGGGAGGTGAGGAGCAGGGCCGGCTTGAGCCATTCCTGCGCCCCGGGCAGCGGGCGCGCGACGTATGCACAGCTCCGCCCCCGGGCACATGGCGCATGTGCAGCCCCCCCCCATGGCACCTGCTGGCAGCTCTAAGGGGTGCCGCGTGGCCCCCGGCCCCGGGCGTGCGGTGCCTGATAGCAGCTCTAAGGGGCACTGCGTGGCCGGGCACGCGGCGCCCCTTACAGCTGCCATCAGCTGCCCCCCACAGA